ATTTAAGATTCTGCACTAGTTCTAGTTTGCTAATCAAATTTGTGACATTTTTGGAAATCTGTGACATTGATCACATATGACACCTTCTGACATTCATGTTAATCTTTCAGTTTAACTTTTTACTCAAACTGTTATTCTGACAATATTCAGCAAATTGTGATGGGGAAAAAAAAATATATATGAAGAAATCCTACCTTATTCTGATTGTAGCGTACTTTACAGTATGTATGACTGAGAAGACAAAATAGAGGCAGAAACATCACAATAGCAACTAAATGACCGTTAATGAAGCAGCACAAGTCAGTGTGAGAAAGCTTGAATGAAAACACGAGGAACTGAACATTTGTCTGTAGGCATTTGGGCACATCCACTAATTATCTCAGCCAACACCACCACTGATTGCACTTCATTTCTCCAGCAGCACTTCTAAAGAGAAACTCTCATCTTCTGAGACAAGAATGAAGAGAGTGTCTAGATGACTGCTACTCTTGCAGAGCTCCCGAGGCCTGGGTCCTGCAGACTTCCTACTGACGATCTGTGATGTCCTGCCTCTGCACTGCAGGCTGAGGTTGTTTCAGACTGCGAAGGGCTGAACCAGAGATGACCCAGGCTGTGGACGGACCAGATGTTGCAGGAATGTGTCAGGCAACCAGCATGCCAAAGATAATGCTGGAAGCCTACGCACTCTTACTGTTCTAACTCTCGAACGTACATCTCGGAGAGCCAATCTACGCCTACTTTGCAGCGTTTCCCTTTGAAGTTCTTTCATTTTGCACATTTACATTCATGCAGTTGGCAGACGCTTTCCTCCAAAGCAACTTGCATTGCATTCAAAGCACACATTTTTATCAGTCCCTGCTTTCCCTAGGAATCAAACCCATGACCTTGTGGTGATACTAGCGCCATGTTCTGCTGTTTAAAGGGTTAGTTCACCCAAAAATTCTGTCATTAATTACTCACCCTCATGTTGTTCTAAACCTGTAAGACCTTTGTTCATCTTCGGAACACAAATTAAGATATTTTTGATAAAATCCGAGAGCTCTCTGACCCGCCCATAGACAACAAGTTTACTATCACGATCAATACCAGTATCACGATGCATGCGCTTGCTTCCGTTGACTCGTGTGTGTGTTCAACGTAAGCAGCGGCACCATGTGCGTGCGTTGTTTACATGAAGCGCATGCGTCGTGATACTCTCTCCATGATGGTGTCGCGTCACAGCATAAGGGATAAGGAGGAGAAGAATTGTTGAATAATATCATTATTTTTGTTTTCAAAGTGCACAAAAAGTATTCTTGTAGCTTCGTAAAATTACAGTTGAACAGTTGATGTCACATGGACTATTGTTGTTCTAAACCTGTAAGACCTTTGTTCATCTTCGGAACACAAATTAAGATATTTTTGATAAAATCCGAGAGCTCTCTGACCCGCCCATAGACAACAAGTTTACTATCACGATCAATACCAGTATCACGATGCATGCGCTTGCTTCCGTTGACTCGTGTGTGTGTTCAACGTAAGCAGCGGCACCATGTGCGTGCGTTGTTTACATGAAGCGCATGCGTCGTGATACTCTCTCCATGATGGTGTCGCGTCACAGCATAAGGGATAAAGAGGAGAAGAATTGTTGAATAATATCATTATTTTTGTTTTCAAAGTGCACAAAAAGTATTCTTGTAGCTTCGTAAAATTACAGTTGAACAGTTGATGTCACATGGACTATTTTACTGATGTCCTTGCTACGTTTCTGGACCTTGATCGTGGTAGTAACCTTGCTGTCTATGGGATGGTCAGAAAGATCTCGGATTTCATCAAAAATATCTTTGTGTTCCGAAGATGAGGTCTTACGGGTTTAGAACAACATGAGGGTGAGTAATTAATGACAGAATTTTCATTTTTGGGTGAACTATCCCTTTAAGCTACAGAAAGGCCTGCAGAAAAAGTTGTGGCGGGACGATAAATGTCCCCAAAACCTATGGAAGACAAGCCTGTGGCTGATTATGTCATAACTGTTTTGCACCACCACAATGGCCTGATAAGAATAATGGTCTTGTTTAATGAGATTTGTAACTCCTGCAATCGCTCAATTAGTAAAGAGGTCCCCTATTGAATGCAGGGAACCTCAGCCCTCGTTTCCCAAATCAGACACATCCCACTCCACTCCCCAACCCCCTGTGCTCTGTGGCCCACATCCCATCCAAATATTCGGGACACACAGCGGCCCCTTCCTCCCCCTCTTGACTGCCTTCCATTTTCCTTTTGATTGTGATTGACAGATTCTTTGTCCCATTGTACTGAGCTGTCGCCTCTGATGAAGACACACACATGCATAGGAACGCATGCTCTCGCTCGCTCACCTTGGACTTGTTGCGGCAGACAGAAGGGTCTGCCAGTGTTGATACGTGAATGCATTCGTGGTGTAAGTTTCCAGCCATTTAGAATCTGTGGACGTGGTTGCGTGTTGCCGGATGTAGGCCGGATGGACTCTGCAGAGTCCGTCTGCAAGCTGCGCCATGCTGAGGTGGTGCGGCTGAGAGGGACAGCTGGTGGGGGAGGCGAAAGGGATGCTCAATGTTGTCTGAAGAGTTTGTCATTAACACAGCTCCTCAGGGATGGGAACCAGGTCACATTCTCTCACTCCGCACAAAGCAGTGTGTGTGTGAGAGGGCTGGGGGTGCCGAGGGAGGGTGGCGGATGGGGACTAGGCCATGACCTCTTTATATCCATCAACATATCATTGGCCGGGTGTGCGCTGTCCAATCTGCAATGCGTCGGAATGTACTTATGCGCTCATTTTGGTGTCTCTCTGCTTGCTGTCATGATCTTTATATCTCTGCCATCTTTTGCTCTCACTTTCTGATTCTAGCTTTTGCTTTTTCCCATTTTTTGTTTGTCTTGCATAGTGACTAAAACACACACACACACACACACACACACACACACACACAGGACTGAAGGGGGTCCTTCAGTTTTGACTCTGTAAAATCAAAAAAAAAAAAATTTCAGTATGGACAACATGTGGTCAGTGTTAGGAATTGTAACGCTCTAATTTCATTAGGGCATAATTTAACCCCATTCAACCCAGTACACACTGTTTTTGTCCGAAATCTAGTACTCTATAAGTAGGTACTTCTTTTGGTGCCACTTTATATTAGGTGGCCTTAACTACTATGTACTTACATCAAAAAATAACAACACTTAGGGACAGGTTTGGTGGTATCGGTAGGTTTAAGGGTGGGTTAAGGTGTAAGGGATGGGTCAATAATAATATAAATGTAATTACAGATGTAATTACATGTAGGTATTTTATTTTAAATTGGCCTAATTAAATAAATAAATAGGCCTACAAGTACAATGTAAAAACATGTATGTACACAATAGGTGCATTGTATCAAATTATCAATTTAAATGTAAGTACATAGTAGTTAAGGACACTTCATATGAAGTGTAATATAATATAATATAACATAACCCTTCTTTTGAATAAGTGCTTTGTGAATGTTAAAAAGTAGGTTCTATGTAGTATGAATATATGTAGTATTAATGTTACCCGGATGGTACTGTATTCATCATGGTGTCATGTGGCCTACAGTGTCAGATGTGTTGCTTCACTGCCATTCACAAATTTTCTTCTGTGGCCTCATGGGACAGAAAAGCGTCCATTGGATGCGCATTTCAGAATCTCGTAACAAGTAGCAGGTCATACAGGTTATTTGTATCTACTGTATCATGAATAGTGTGAATTTGGACATACCACTCTTTTCACATACTGTTTTTTGCCTACTGTATAGTATGGAAGGATGTGATTTTGAATTCAGCCATACAGTGTTTCTCAACTAGAAGGCTGCATCCTAGTAAGGCTGTATATCTGGGCTAACACAACATCAAGTCCGGTCTCAATTTGAAAGTTCCTTCATTTCTTCATTTCCATCATTCTGCATATTTTGAAGGATGCATCAAGTGTAGGCTATGCTCTGTGCCCTCCAATCACCCAAAATAGTCACTTTATATTCAGTTAATAAAAATATTTTTAAAATGAAGTATAGTGCGGGGGCTGAAACTTTTATGATGTAGCCATGCACACTTACTAGACTGTCTCATTCTAGTGTTCACCCTTGAGGAGGAGTTATAATATAAGCTTTTGAGGGGCTAGACTGAAGGACACAACTTCACTAGGATACAGCCTTCCAAGTGAGAATCACCCATAGTAATGACAGCACAGATCTCAGACGGTTCCTCTGTATACTACTTCTTTATTTGCTAATGTACTCTGTTACCCTCTGCTGGTTTAAATCAGAATGTCTGGCCTCTGCTAATGTTGAGTGTACCACAACAGTTATGTGGTAATTCTGTTCCACTGTTTCCAGTGGTGTAGTCAGTGTTTATGTTGTTCTAAGCTCAACAGCTGATTAAAGAAGCAGAATTAAAGAAAATGAATGAGGCATATAAAAAAATAACATATAGTAACTAGAGCAAGACAAAAATGCAACAAATGAAACAAGAGCAAAATGATCACATTACAGTGTTATTTACAGTAGGTTCAAAATCAACACATTTTTAAATAGGGTTTTAAGACCACCTAAATGTTCAAGTTATTTCAAATAAAAACAGACTTAGCTTATGAAAGGACAGAAATGATTTGAACTCTTTCCCTGCCAGTCACCACCAAGGTTTTTGATCATTTTCACAAAAATGAAATGGCCCTCAGAATATTTTGTTTTATATGAATATCTGAACATGCAATGTGTCAAAACAAAGAAAAGAGCCTCTGCTTTTAAACAAAACAAAACCTTTTTATTCTAGCTTCATGCATTCTTTTTTATCAACACCTGAATGTGGGTAAGTTTCATGGAAAATGCAACATTTTGAACAAAAAGCTGAGAAAATCTTTTTTTTTGTCAAAGACTACATCCAGTTCGGATTCAGAAAGATGATCAAAACATAGATGAAGCAGATTGCTTCCATCAACACCCCCAAAGCTTGCACAGTCCTATATATCACTTCCTTTCATTCCCCCCCCCCCCATTCTTTCCCTCTTCCACACTTTCCCACTCATTTACTCTCCTCTCATCTTCCTCACTGCAAACCATACTCTTACTCTTACTGTCCGTTTATTTCCCTGCCATTTCTGTACCCATACAGACTTTTGGTCAAAAATCCCAGTTCCTCACAACACCCAAATATACTACATTCTCCATAACTAAACTTCACAGTCCTCAGTCTGCCCAAGTTTGTTGTTATAGTTTGACGACTCAGTAGTCAGTCCTCTAAAAATACTTCCGGCAACAGCAATGCATCAGTCCTCTGCCCTCCGAGCTTCAGACTCATCTACTCCCAGATGGGTCTCTGCCAGTCGTGTTTTGATCCAGACGTTCAGTACTCTTTCAGAAGACGTCTAATAGTGCCTCCTACCATACGACAGTGAAAACACGGAAAGCTGGAAAATTCCGGCAATGGTGGGGAAAGAGTTAAACAGACATTGTAAATCATTAGTACAAATAAAGGCAGCTATGTGATTCTTTTTCAGTTGAATCATGAACATCATAAGCATCACAATTAGCTTTTGGAATGGTCTGTTATGGTGTATGGTTTGCAAAAATAACGCAAAAATGCTCCATAATTGACAATCATGGTAATAACTTAAACCAGCTTACTCCTTTAAAACAATGTCGGTTTTGACAGTAACTCACGTGATTATCTGAAAAAAATCCAAATTATGCATGTGTGTTTTAATGTGGATTATTCCTTTGAGGCATTGTATTCTTCTGTTTGTTGCACTGAGTTGTGTCCGTTCTGCTGTAAACTGAGGGAATTGGGAGTGTGTGTGTCTCACTGCTGCCCTCTTCAGTCAGGAGAAATGGTGCGTCTGCGCAGGCAGCTGCATGTCAGGCATTTGAGGATGCTCATGGTGATATGCATAAGTGAGCCGAAGTTAAAGAGCAGGTTGTAGAAAGTGTGCACTGAGAGTCCTCCGGTCTCATCCGCGTATTTCATGGCCACAATGGGTGTGTAGAGGCTGTTGGTCAGATTCCGGAATCGGGGTCGGCTGGATTCAATCACTTTCTTGGTGCACTGGATTGTGGGTAATTAAGAAGAGAATAATAATAATAAGTTTAGTGTAAAAATGAAAATCTGTGGCGATTTAAAGGGTAGTGTAGAAAAATTAGAGCTTGTTTTCAATGCAATTGTAGAGTTCATATGTTTGCAGTCAAACGGTGATACATACTTTAGCAATGTCCTCAGGGGTTTGTCCCAGTGCCTCAAAGATATCGATGGATGATGGTATGTACACATCCTTGAAGTACCTGACTGTGTCTGCATCTGCTCCAGGATATTCCATCTTGGCCACCTCTTCCATCATCTTTGTTTCAAACTCTGTATGCACTGGGCCTGGCTCAATCAGTGATAGTCTATAGGAGTATAGAAGGAATGCTACATTAGCACCATAGCACACTTTAATGCCAATAAGATGGATTATGAAAAGCCTGTTTACACCAAGTCTGAGCACAACAGGTTTGTAGTGCCATGTAAATAAATCAGTCAATTAATCTTGAGACCAAATCTCATTATAGGCATTTTAATGAGAGTAAATTCATAAGGCTAAGAATAAAATCCCCTTTTTTTCAAAAAACAATAATCGAAGGCCTCTCCATATTCACTGTAGAAAATGATTGTTCAAAGATATACTGTATATAAAACAAAGATTACTGGAAAATGTTTTACAAGAAAATACTATTTGACTCTTTCTACGTCAAAATGTCATGTTTAATTCAATGTGTTTCTATTTCATTTACTAGCAATTTTTTTTCAATGAAAATTATTTTATTTTTTTTCAGTTGAGAGATATTTCCAATATTTCTGCTGTAATTATAGCAAAACTGCTTATTTTAACACTTTTTTTATTAACAAAAACTGGGAGTGTCGATATATACTGAATTAACCACAACATGTTTTTTTGATTCCAGAAGTTTCAAGAGCTGTATGTTCTTCAATACATTTTTTTTAAAGAATTTTTAATTTAGATAAGACTGATTATTTTAAATAATTCATTTATTTACAAATTTTTAACTCTTCCTGTGGCCTGAAGTTCGCTGATAAAGAGTTTTGAGGATTATGAGATTACTCTCAATGGCACATGGCACTAAACCAGTGTTGTAAGTGTAACTAAATAACATGAGTATAATATATTTATACAACAACATCAAACAAAACTACTTCAGTCTGATGCAGAATTTTTCTAATTTGCTGAAAAAAACCCCCCTCACATTTATAAACAAATATCATCGCAATTTGATATTTCATTGATATGTTCATTGTGTTATTTTTCACTTTTTCATGCTAAAAATTCAGACGTGACACGCATAGGCTTTCAATCATAAGACTTCGGATCACTTACTTCACATTAAACTTCAGCAGCTGCACAGCCATACTCTCACAGAAGCCCTCTATGGCGAACTTAGAGGCCGTGTAGACATCATTGAATACCACACCTGCAGATGAGTTCAACAGAGGCATAATCAGTGATCATGTCATTGTTCTGCTGCCCTCCCAAAGTGTCCCAAACCATATGTGCCATATCTGGCTGTCATAATGCTCTTCAGCTAAGTGCATAACTCTGAATGGCTCTATTGTCCCTCTGACTGTCAAGCATTCAGCTGTGTGACACAGAAGGTTTCAGTCAGCCCTCTAAAGCCTGGCATGTCCATCCTACCCTGCAGGCCCATTACGCTGCTCATGACGATAATGTGGCCGGCTCGCCTCTTCTTCATGTCCGGCATGACCTCTTTTATCATGCGCACGGTTCCGAAGAAGTTGGTCTCAAACACTTTCTTCATGTCATCCATGCTGATGCTCTCCACAGGGCCCAGCAAACCCACGCCTGCGTTATTAACTGGAAAATCAGAGAGGAAGGATGGGTGGTTATGGTCTTGACTGTCCCCCGAGGCTCTAGACTAGTATTAATCTATACACTCTCAGAAAAAAAGGTACAAAAGCTGTCACTGGGGTGGTACCTTTTCAAAAGGCACACCTTTGTACCTAAACAGTCCATGTTAGTACCTTAAAGGTACATATTAGTACCTAAAGTGTACATATTAGTACCTAAAAGGTACAAAAGTGTGCCTTTTGAAAAGGTACTGCCCCAGTGACAGCTTTTGTAACTTTTTTTCTGAGAGTGTATGGTGACCACATATCTTTCAAATAATATTAGTCAGCATTAGTCAGCACACGCTTATTCTAGTTGTCTGGTTTTCTGTAGTGTCAGTTCTAAAATTATGTTAGATTAAATTGACTGAACAGACTAAAATGTGTTCATAGGCAGAAAAAATATTTTATTTGCTCAATCCAACTCAATTTCTTTTTTTGTAGTCTGAACATGCTGAAAACATGAAATCCAATTTGTATAAGCCCGATGCAAGCCTCCAAACGCGGACTCGTTTGAAATCCTATTAAAGTTTTTTGTTAATGCGTTCGAGTCTGAACAGTCAAATAGGATTTGATTGGATTTGTGTGGCAGGTTAATACAATAGCTGTTTCGTCAGGAACAAAAACAACAGGTGGTCATTATGTAATCACATCATGTAATGACTGCTTTAAAGTGTTTATTGTTAACTAACTGCATGATTTGTATAATCTTAAAACTGTACATTTATGTCACAAGGACATTACTTTGTCACCTCTGATAACCAATCTCTCTTATTTGTAAACTAGAAAAAAAATTGTGTGAAGCTGCTTTGAAACGATATGTACTGTGAAAAGCGCAATACAAATAAACGTGAATCAAACTGATAGAGTGAAAAAGAAGCGTAGTTGAGGTTATAGTGTACTTCAAATCTTAAAGTATATCATATATATCTTTAATATATGTTAAAAAGATTTACTTGCAGATAATATAATATTAATGAAATTAAGTGCAATTAAAGAGAGTACACTTTTTTTTTCTTAAGTATCCTAAATGGTACTTCTTTTTCCTCAAGGGAATATGTGTCTTGATGGGCAAGTATCGGATGTAAAATACCACAGAGCATATCAAATGTGTTGGTTTTTAGCAAGCAAGGTCAGTTAACTGACACGATTTCATTAGTCACTGCTTTTTTGCGAGTCTACAATGCTCTCTTAAAGTGATAGTTCACCCAAAAATGAAAATTCTCTCAGGTTTACTCACCTTGAAGTCACTCCAAACCTGGGTGAATTTCTTTATTCTGCTGAACACAAAAGAAGATATTTTGAAGAACATTCTCTGGTCCCCACTGACCAGACCACCATAGTAATTTTTTTTCTTACTGTGGAAGTCAGTGGGGACCATCAACTGTATGATTACCACCATTCTTAAATATATCTTTTGTGTTCAGCAGAAAAAAGAAATAAAAACAGGTTTGGAACAACTTGAGGGTGAGTAAATGATGACAGAATTTTCATTTTTGGGTGAACCATCCCTTTAACTGTATTTTATTGTTTGCAATAACGAATGCTAATGAAACATAATCAATGGCAAAACATCCTTTGCTAAATTCTTGCAAGGTGAAACTGCACAGGTTTGTCTCATTGCTATTGCAACCAGTGTTTTGTTTTTTTAATACAAGCCCATTTTTTTGAACAGCCCATCTAAAAAATAAAATCGGATTTCCCCTGCAGTATGGTGTCTTGATGGGCAAGTATCGGATGTAAAATACCACAGAGCATATCAAATGTGTTGGTTTTTAGCAAGCAAGGTCAGTTAACTGACACGATTTCATTAGTCACTGCTTTTTTGCGAGTCTACAATGCTCTCTTAAAGTGATAGTTCACCCAAAAATGAAAATTCTCTCAGGTTTACTCACCTTGAAGTCACTCCAAACCTGGGTGAATTTCTTTATTCTGCTGAACACAAAAGAAGATATTTTGAAGAACATTCTCTGGTCCCCACTGACCAGACCACCATAGTAATTTTTTTTCTTACTGTGGAAGTCAGTGGGGACCATCAACTGTATGATTACCACCATTCTTAAATATATCTTTTGTGTTCAGCAGAAAAAATAAATAAAAACAGGTTTGGAACAACTTGAGGGTGAGTAAATGATGACAGAATTTTCATTTTTGGGTGAACCATCCCTTTAACTGTATTTTATTGTTTGCAATAACGAATGCTAATGAAACATAATCAATGGCAAAACATCCTTTGCTAAATTCTTGCAAGGTGAAACTGCACAGGTTTGTCTCATTGCTATTGCAACCAGTGTTTTGTTTTTTTAATACAAGCCCATTTTTTTGAACAGCCCATCTAAAAAATAAAATCGGATTTCCCCTGCAGTATGAACAAAGCCTATATGAGTTCAAAGGCATTGTGCACTCACTGAGAATGTCGATGTGGCGGTCCTTTACACTGTCAATACACTGCCTGACTGAGTCATCACTGCACACATCCAAGGACAGCAGTGTCAAGGTCTTTCCGTATGTGTCACCCGCCGCCTCCACCAGCCGGTCCTTCTTTCTCAGGTCTCTCATAGTGGCAATAACTTCAAGACAAGTGACAGAGAATCATTTTATAATCAAAATGAAAGACTAATATCTACATGTAGAGCTTTTATATAGAGTGGAATAATGAAAAGCTGCTTTTTTAAATTCGAAGAAGTTTGCATCACCAATTCTTTATTACTGTGAAGCTGCTTTAAAACAATCTGTATTGTTTATAGTGCTATGATAAAGGTGACTTGAGTTGACTCTTAAAAGCTTTGTCCTAAAATCACCGCAGGAGATTGCAGTTTGATTTAATTCGATCCCTTTTATCTTTTTTTTAGCGCTGACATATATGCTGACTCAAACAAAGCACTCAATCTAATCAGTGGTAAGTGTTGCTTAATTAAACTATGGCTGAAAGATAAGCTGAAGAGATTAACATTTTAATGCACTTTGCACTTTGAACACCTGAGGGGACACTGACCTAAATCAAACGCCAATCCCAGATGTAATAATAAGCTTGCTGAACATCATTCATCTGTAATTCTGGTAGTTGGATTTGGAGTAATCAGTGTTATCCTTATAAAAACATTAAAAATCCAGTCAACAGTGATATCAGTGATCAGCTGTAATGCATTCAAAAGTTTGGGGTCAATAGAAATAAAAATAAATAAATAAATAAATGTATTCAGCAAGGATGCAGAATTGATCAAAAGTGACAGTAAAGATATTTACAGTGTTTCAAAAGATTTATATTCTCATAGAAGCTTTTAAACTTTCTATTCATCAAAGAATCCTGGAAAAAAACCTTCGGTTTTCACAAAAATATTAAGCAGCACAATGGTTTTTAACATTGTGTGACGTGACATGTGGCCAAGTATGGTTACCCATACTAGGAATTAGTGCTCTGCGTTTAATCCATCCTAAATCCACACACACAGCAGTGAACACACACACACACACACCGTGAACACACACACCCGGAGCAGTGGGCAGCCATATGCTGCGGCACCCGGGGAGCAGTTGGGGGTTCAGTACCTTGCTCAAGGGCACCTCAGTCACAGTAGAAGGTGGGAGAGAGCGCTGTACTTTCACTCCCCCCACCTCGTGGGCAGCCATATGCTGCGGCACCCGGGGAGCAGTTGGGGGTTCAGTATTGCTCAAGGGCACCTCAGTCACAGTAGAAGGTGGGAGAGAGCGCTGTACTTTCACTCCCCCCACCTCCAATCCCTGCTGGTATGAGACTCGAACCCGCAACCTTTGGGTTACAAGTCCGACTCTCTAAACATTAGGCCACGACTTCCCCATCACGTCACGTATAATCACGTATAATAATAATAATAATTAATAATACTACTACTACTACTACTACTAATAATAATAATAAAAACTGTTTCTAGAGCAGCAAATCTGCATATTAGAGTGATTTCTGAAGGATCATGTGACACTGAAGACTGGAGTAATGATGCTGAAAATGTAGTTTTGCATCACAGGAATACATTACATTTTAGAACAGATTACAATAGAAAACAGTTGTATTAAATAGCAGTAGTGTTTCATAATTATTTTACTATATTGTTGATTAAAAGGGGTGAGCATGATTGACTTCTTTCAAAAACATAAAAATAATCTTACAGACCCCAAACATTTGTACAGTATATATATATATATATATATA